CCTGTGTCCTCCAGGATGCAGGTAAAAGACTAGAAGCAGTCAGTGGGAGAGCAGCGCCTCAGTGACTACACCCTACGGTTCATGTTTGGTCTAAATTGGTAATTCTGATCTTGATCTGTCATGAGACACAGTACTCAGAAATAGTCCCCTATCTGCTTCTAATCCTCCTCCAAAAGGTTCAAACTCTGGGTCACACTGGCACAGCCACCAGAATGCTAAAAGAGAAAGGAGGGACGGAGGGAATGGTAAAGGAAGGGGAAGGGAAGAGAAAAAGAATATATAGTAGCCAGCTGGCAAGGACGTGGAGCACAGCTAGTGGGAGTGAAAATTGGCACTGTTCACTTCGGAAAATTGGCAATATCCACCAAAATTCAGCAACTGCACTCCTAGGAATACACGCAACAGAAATGCATGCAAAGGTCCCTTCACCAGAAGACATGTAGACAGATCTTCACTGCAGCACTGTTCCTAGCAGCCACCAACTGCAAATAGGCCACATGCTCATCAATAGGAGACTGGATTAATTTTCTATTGTGAGGTATATTCATACGGTGAATACTGTGCAGCAATGAGACTGAATCAACTACAACTACACATGTACGCATCTCACACAGGTAAAGCTGCAAAAGGACAGACCAAAAGAGTACATACACAGAAGGTTTCTATTTATATGTAATATTCAAAAACATATAAAACTACCGAATAATCATGTACAGAAATAATCTCTATCTCTACCTTAATACTAAAGCCCAAAACAAACCACAGACAAATATTAACAGCTGAAAACCTCTACAAGCAAACTTAGCTGAAATTCTTAGTGACCGTGGGCTTGGCAAAGATTTCTTGGACACCACACGAAACAAACTACAAAAGGGAAAAAAAAATCAATGACTTCAATTTTATAATGATTTGTGATCTATGCACTTTCCCATATACATCTTCAATTTAAATGTTACTGAATAAAAGAAAATAAACATAAAATCATAAAGATTGAATAGATGGACGACAACCCAATCCATCACTGTCATCTCATCTCATCACTCATGAAAAACTACATCTCAAATACTTCCATCCTGCAAATACAAAAACAGAGAGGGGTGGAAAGGGAAAAATGTTATCAGTAACTCCTTGTCCTACCCATTGAGTTGAAACGGGGAGGTGGCAGATCCAATGAAGAGAGAATCTTTTATAAAATTTGGCTCTCCTCTCACAACAACTCTTTAATTCAGAAACATGGAGGAAAATACATTCAACATAAGAGCAAATAAAAGACACTTTGATCCTAGATCATGTTTCACTGACTATTCTTTACTTTCTTCTCTCTGCATCTGGTCCCAATCTTATTTACTTATTTTCTCCCTTCCGTTCTCCGTATTCTTCCAGATTTCTTTTTGCTCTCTGCAACCACGCGTAATTATCATATGCCCTTTTTCTTTTCACCAAAGAAGCTCCAAACTAAGAAAAGGAATTAAAATACATACACAAAAATAGCACAGGTTTTTTATGCATTTCAAATGCCTTTATACTGGGGGAGGGAGGGTCAACATACAATCTCCACTTCTCACCAATTCTGTTTATACAGCATTGGTAGAATACAGGCCACGGTATAATTATTTATATATGATATTTTCTCCTTCCTTTCTTCTTTAGAAGGCAACTAGCAATTTATCAATACAAGTATGTGCTAGCTATGTGGAATGCTAAGATCCAGGATACTACTACTTATCTGATTCCAGTACCAGGACCCCTTTTAACACCAAAAAATATCAAGAACACTTACACAACAAGAAATGATCCTTTTATTATCCGTTTCCTGAGAAAATGCTATACTACCTGGCATTCATATTTCGTTACCTTTTGACTGATTGTGAACCTTACTAACCACAACAACATCTATTAACATTTCACAAAGCGGAAGTGGGCAATGCTTAGTGTAAATGGAGATTCTCTGCTTCTCAAGCCTCTCACCCTCAGGACCTCCCCCACAGTCCTCCTTGGAGTCAGTCTAGATGGACTGGGAACCACAGTTCTCAGCACTCTGGGCTCAACTCTGATCAAGAATTATACAATCTTGCTCATGAGTTCACTGAAGTAGTAATACCGTTTGACAAAAATTGTAGCAAAACAAAGTGCCTTCTTTCACTCAGGATCTTCCCAGGATGATTTATCAGAGTCCTCCCAACAGCCACAATTTACTTTCTTCTCATTCAGAATTAGTATCTGAAATATTTAATACATGATTACTACTTTTTTCCTAGCTATTATCATGATTATTGCTCCTCATCTTTCTCTTCCCCACCCACTCTAACCCAACAAATTCCCACATCCCAGAAGTTCTAGATAGGAAAAGGGAAAAAGGAACAAAAACTAACTTTCACATCAAATAAATATTCATGGCTATTTTCTTATATTAGGTGGGAGTAGATTTAGAAGTAAAATTGTGCTTGACCCTTGTCTCTGACATATTTAACCTGAATATATTCATTCATTCAACAGGAACTCAATAAAAAAATAAAACATTAGCCACAGAGTGTATTCCTAAAATCTGCAGAAGGGTACTCTCTTGCCACAGATAAGTCTTCCTCTTAACTGTCAATAACAAACAAATCGTGCTCCTTTTTTTTAATTCATTCAATAATGTTCTCTGTCCTTAATTTTTAACATGGGTAAGCTGATATTTTTCTCTCTCCAAAATATAAAACCAAAAAGTAAATTATAATTTTTGTCACCGCATTGTTTTTTTCCCTATGAGTCAGCCATTCTGAACAGAAGTACTCCATGCTCCCCTGAAAAGTGACATCTGATAGATCCTCATTATTTTGTTAAAGGTGAAAAAAAAAATTACAATTTTTAAATTTCAAGGTGGTAATGAGTCTGTTAAGATAACGTACTTCCTAATTTAGGTCACAAAACAACCTTCAAAACTCCATTATAACATTACTTCAAATCTTACCTGTAGTATTTCTCAATGAAGGATCCTTAAGAGTCTACAAAAATGAAGTTTTTTGTTTTGCTTTTCCCATTTTACAGAATTGTCTAGAAAAATTAATTCAACCAATACTGTCACAGGACTAGCAATTTCCATTAAGCAGGTTAAAAATATGAGCTAGAAAGATTAGGAACATTATATCACTTTTTATGTATCTATTATGTTTTGTATTTAAAAAATCTTTCCTCCACTCCTCTGAAATATCAAAAATTATTCTATACCGTGGTGAAAAAATCAATCATGACAAACGTTAACTTGGTTTCTTACAAAGAAGTAGCTTCTCCTCTCTTTAAAGAAAGAAGACAGGGTTTCTTTTCTTTTCTTTTTTTTAAAACAATAAATACATGGGAATGGAATACTGACCACAGGTAAATTCTACGTATCTTTTAAGACTCATGCCATGCCTCAGATAACTAATTTTAAAATAAAACAAAGACTTTAAAAATTCAGGTAATTAGAGAGCAAGGAATTAAAGAATGTGATGGTAACGTTACATGATACTATAAACAATTACATCCCTGGGCAGAATAGTCTCACTAGGCCATGAAATTTTTTTTAAACTTCAGATTTTTATTTCTCAAGTTCTTCCAAATAAGTTTAAAAGACAAATGATTTGACTATCACTGTATAATTTTTATAAAGGAGTAAAAATAAGTAATTTCTATTTTTAATATATCTGCATTAGTGAAACAACTTCTGTGTTGGCAAAATGTTAGCTGACCCACACAACTACATTTATACCCACTAAGTCAGCATATCACAACTGCCAAATACATGTGTAAGCACCCCCAAAAGAATAACAAACAAAGCAAGCAAGCTATGGTAAAACTGTGCATAAAGCTGTCATAAGCATAGTGGCTGTTTTCTAAACTTTAAAATCATGACCACATGCATCCTCCCTTTCCATCAAATGTAACCACAGGAGCTTAGGGAAAACAGTAGCAACAATAATTTTTAAATAAATAAATGTAATCACCAAAATATTTTAGAATATTTCCTTATAAAAATAAAAAAATTAAAATGTATTTTCACCATAAAAACCTCACCCATCCCCAACATGTTTCTGAAGAATTTTCACCCATTCTGTTCAACCCTAATTTATCAACAGAGAATACATGCTACTCAAAAGAGTTAATATAATTATTACTGTCATACCATTAAGAATGTTCTTCCTAGTAATAAAACTCTAACATTACAGTTGGCACTCAGTCCATTCACTATTTACACCACCACCCTCTCCCCCTTCCCATCACCACCATTTTACTGGCAGAATATTCACAAGGCTGAAGATTGTTTTTCATCTCAGCAAAAAGAATGCTTAAAATCAGACGGCCAGCCACAAACCAGAAGTTAGAAGCTACATAAAAATAAACACAAATGTGCCTAAATTTTTCTATTTTCAACCTCTAAAGAAAGTAGTAACATCTTCGTTATTTGTAATTCTCTAAATTATAGCCAGGAGCCTTTCACCTAATTATACTAATAAATCGATTGAATGTCATCATTTTGCCATCAGATCATGTCCTCCATACACTAGTGAACTATAATTAAACCCATTTTACCATGTTGGGTTCTTCACCTCATATTTTTTCCCAGTGCTTTTTTCAAATCATTCTTTAACTACCAAATTATTTCTCTATAATACTTTCCTAAATATTAAATCTATGAACAAAAAGATAACCCTGAAAACCAACCACAGAAAAGATAAATTAACACACCTTAATACAAAATATCAACATCAGGTATAAACTATCAGAAAGGTAAGCACCAACTCAAGAACCACAACTGAAAACATTATGTAGTATACATAATTTTGGTAAATAGAAATAAACACATTTGCATATCAAAATAGGCAACTATAGCCTCATTTCTGACTTGAGATAAAAATGTTTTAATTCTATTCATTAAGTAAAATAGGTATTTTAAGAAAATATCTCCTTACAGGTATAATCATTTGATTGACAGATAAAATAATTGCTTTAAAAATACTTCTGAGTCATTTTGTCCTTACCTGCAGGCATGAACCATTACTGCATGCAGTGACTGTTCCATTCCCTAGCACAGACTTGAAGAAGCATCATATCTCTCTTTCAGAATGTGACTAATCTGTGGGTTTGCAATTCCTAAGCTATTCACAAATGGCACTCCCTTTCCACGTAAGAAAATATTTATCACAACCAAAAGCTAAGTATTTTTAACCTAATCTTACAAATAATATTAATTTTTGTGTAGCAACAACCTGAAAATACAAGAAAACCTAATACGAGTAAGTCCTTAAAGAAAGCAAGATTTTTGTTCATTTTTTAGCTAAGTAAATTATTCTTTAAAGCCCTTAACAGCTGTCACACATGAACCAGCGGTCTGCTGTGTTATGGTGTGCATGCTGCAGCTGATTAGGCTTCACTTTTTTTTTAAAAAAATCAATTACCCTTTGTAAAAGCTGAACAGCTTGCCCAAATACACATCTTCAATAAAGCACAATGATCAGCATGCAGTACAATACGCTTCATAGCAAACTTGACAAGGAAAAAAAAACACATCCTGGTTTGTTTCTTAGCAATGCTACACCATTAATTGTTCATGCAAGAGATGTAGCTGTACCTTTCTGAAGAGGACGACTTCTCAGAGTTAACTGACATCAGCAGCTCAATCTTCTGCTTGATTTCTGGAAAAATCAGAAAATATTCACAACCAAGATTGCCTGTCCTTGCTTTCAAGCCTTATATCAAGAGATTTTTCTTCTCTAATCCCTTTTGTTCAAAATGAGGCCACAAGATTCGCAGTACTTCTGCTAGGACTGGGATTCAATGGTGCTATAAAGGGAAAAGGCTCCAGAGGCATCAGGCCTTGCTAAACTATGCACATGACTGTTTATGAAAGCAGGAAGTACCATTTCTTTTAAGCAGAGGGGTGTTTTCTTTTTTAAGGTAGAACTAGCTTGGCTCTACAAGAAGATTTTAAATGCAGCAAATTAAAATACAAACCAAAAATGCTAACAACTGGATTCAATAAACTAGATAATTTGAGAAGCCTGGGTAATAAAGTTACAGACTGTAATGAACCGATAGGCAACCCTCGGTCACTTCTATTTCACCAGCCCTGAAAAATATGGCTCAGTGAATCATTTTTGTCAGTTAAGAATTAAACCAGAATCCCAATTTACAGATTAAAAATTTTTAACCTTTGTTATAATTTCTTGATTGTCTTTAAAGATGTATTTAACATCTACTCCCTAACTCCTTTAGAAAAAGACTTCCGTTTTACACCTTAATTTCCCCTCCTCCTTCGCAGTACAGCACAAGTGAACAGCAACACCCAGTCACCGGGCAGATAATATACTTGTCCTTTTAGGAAAGGACTGAAAATGCTATCTGCAACAGAAACGTAAGTGCCAATTCAATTTAATTAAAAGATCACTGCTGATACTGATTTGAGAAAAAAAAGATTCTAGACTTTAATGGAAGGTGGGGTAAAAATAAAAGAGGAAAAGAAAAAGAGAAGGGAAAAATATCTAACACATTTCCTTTAAAATATTAACCACTGACCTAAAGCACATAATTTTACACCAATAAGCAAAACATGATCCTATTACCCAGACTATTTCAAATATAAAGCTGTTTTCCTATTTGTAAATGTGTTTTCCTATTCGTAATTTTAAAAGTTCACATATCAAAAATAAAACAAAAGTGCCACTGAAATGTTATAGGCAGTCTCAGGATTTCAAAGTAGACCTCAGCCAGTTGAGGTTTTTTGTAAAGGGCGAAACAAATTTTAATTTTTAAGATTCTTGGTAACAGGGAATATGAGATGTAAAAAAAAAATTAGTTGCATAAAATACAATGACTGGAACTGTACAGAAATATCCCCTCAATGTTGTTAAAATAAAGGTGTTTCCAAAGTGTCCAAGCTAATAACTTCATTCACTGTACATTATAAAGCTGGCATGAATAACTGATGAGAACAGAATCTACCACAAGCTGTAGCCAAACTAGCTAACCACTGGGGGAGAGCACACGGCACAGCAGTTCAACTGAAATGATGATAATGAAACTTACCTTGAGGATTCTTACGTGGATTACAGAGCCTGGCACCTGGTGCCATGGTGAACGCTCAGTAAAGCCCCTCCCTCCTGTTTAAAAAGAACATGGCATTTAAGAGCCCAGACCCGGCTGCCAAGCAGCCCTGGATTTGAAAGCAGGCTCCACCGCCATTTTTAATAGTCATGTGACCTTGGGGGAAATTACTTAAACTCTCTAAGCCTCTATCTCCTCTCCTATAAAATGGGGATAATAATTCTACGTGAAGAGCTGTTGTGAGGATTTAATGAAATAATCCATGAAAGGACATAGTGTTGTGCTTGGCATGTAGTAACCCTCTGCCTATTGTTAGGTAGTGCCTAGCAAAGGATGGGATACTAAATAAATATTTGTTGATTGAGTTAATGAGTTATACTAGGTCTGTCTCATTTTAAACAGCTTTAAAGAGTTTTAATCCACCTCCGTCTTTCTACCAACCTCAGCATTCACCACAGTGTTACTGTATGTGGAAATTTAATCTGTATCTCAGCCTTTCTACCTAGAGAATTATTCTCGGTTTATTAGCTAGCCACTTCAGGAATGAAGCAACACTTGAATCCTTCTTCAATGTGGCATTTTTTAATTCCAAAAAGACAAAAAGTTTACACTTCAGTGTATGTATATAGTGTCTGTGCATTTAAGGTGGAAGTCCTCAAGATTAAGCTACACAGCTCTAATGAAGTATATGCCCATTTTACAAACATAGATAGAAAAGTTAAAGTTCTAAATCATTTTCTGGCTGGTGATTTCGTAAGATCCAAACCAAAAACATTTCAAGAAATACACAGCAAGGTTTCCAACATCATTTTCACATTTTCTTCAAACCTTCAGATTCGTTTATACCTCCAGAAGGACTAGAAGGTTCAGGAATGTTCACAAATACTATGTTAACACTGCATCCTTTGAGGCTCATGAATTCCATCTATGCTACCATCTAATCCTTATCAATACCATCCATGGGTCTGAGTACTTGGCATGTTCACAAAGAAGTCCAGAAGCCATGTCACTGAGTTTCATTCCACCACAATATCCACCGTAGTCCTAAAGGGCTTTGATGTTCATGTTAATATGACTTCCAAACACCCTTGGCTAAAGACCTTGGCATCCCCAGTAGTCTCCTGAACCTCTGACCACCCGAATCATCTCCCACCAAGACCACACATAGGAGACTCTCTTATACACACTGCAAATACATTACCCAAATTAGTTGCTTGTTTTTCAATTTTATTCACAGTATCCAGGACCCTATACCTTATTTTTCTGCAATTAATTCCACCAGGGTTTTCCTTTATGAATCATGGTTTTCCTGTTAAAACTAGAAAAAATTTCCCCACATCAATTTTTTTTAAAATCATCATCCTATTTTCCTCTAATATCCTGTATAATTTCATTTTTGCATGTAAATCTTGGACCCTTCTAAAATTTATTTTGGCCTATGAATTGATGTAAAAACCTGGTCTGTTTTTATAGTTCACACTTCAAAACGTTATGCCCCACCCACTCCTACAATTCTAAATTACTCTCTTCACCACCACTCTTTGGTTCCTACAAAGTAACAGTCTCACAACTTTGTAAACATATTTTTTTTTTACCATCCACTGTCTCCATTTATACATTCAGGCTAATAAGTACCAGAAAGGCTATACTTCCTTATTTCGCAAAGGTATAAGCATATTTCAGATTATAATTAAGTTGCTTCTTTAGTCACAGCTTTGTTTAAATTTCTAAGTAGTAATATAAAACAATGTAAGTTTTATTTTTAATGCTTTTGTGTTTTTATGATTCTCCTCTGGGTTCTTTGCTGGATCATCTTTTTTCATCCAGACTTAAATGCTGGAGATAGTTACAAGACCCTCTTTCCACTCACTGACCTTTCTATCTACACCCCTAATATCCACAACCATAAAGTCACTGATGATGACCAAATCTGAATTTCTAGCCCAACACTCCCTCTTGCAACCTAGAACTCTGTATACCCTTTGAGGCCTACTGGACATTTTCACCTAGATGGTCCCTGGTAGCCTTGAACGCAGCCTGAAACTAACCTCATCAACTCCCTAATCTAATGTCATTTGTTAACAGTCAACAGCAGCATCACTGCGCCTCCGAGTCAGACAGACATTTTTGAGAGATCCAGACTAGTACTTGTCTCATATGGGGTATCACTGCCACCAGTCTCCTTTTTTATATATTCTATGCTCTGAAATACCGAGCTCTACTCTGTGATTCCCCAAATACATCATGTTTTCTCACACCACCAAGTCTGTTCTTACGCACTCTCCTCTCCGTGGAATGCCACCGTCCTGTTTGTTTCCTTTGCACATCCAACTCACTTTCCTAACCTCTGCCAAATTGTTAACTCCTTCCTGATGTCATCCCAGACAGAATACAGTTCGTCTCCTCTGCCCCTCTATGTATCACATACACTTCATTACAGAATTACTAAAATACATACACAGTACCTGTTTGACTTCCCATGAGATCACAGCTTCCTTAAGGATAAGGATCTGAATTTTCACGTCAATTAACACTTATATGTTGATACTTTTGTGGTTTTCTTGGGCTGTTCTCCAGTTAGTGTTAAAGTTACAATCTAGCTAAGTTAGTCTCCTTGTTCTTAAATATTCATTTCCAGATACAATTACTCAACTAGAGATTCAAACAACTGTGGAGCTAGAAGGGTCCTAGAGATCAGCACACAGCTGAACCACATATAAAGAAGAAATCTGAGGGGGGAAAAGATAAACTACTGGTGGTGGTAACATTCTTCACCTTTTCCAAAAGATTACTGTGTCTGTGATTTATAGCTAATTTCCAAGGACAAAGCAACCTAAGTAGAACAGTTCAGCCTTTTTTTAAGTTGAAGTATATAGTCAGTTTACAATGTTGTGTTAATTTCTGGTGTATAGCATAGTGATTCAGATATATATTCCTATTCTTTTTCATTATAGGCTATTACACGGTACT